CTACTACTACTACTAGTAGTAGTAGTAGTACTACTACTACTACTACTACTAGATCAACAACGACGAACACAGAAAGCCTGGTATGGCATGGTGCGAATCACCCTTTCGCATCAACACAAGAAGTAGCTTGTATGAAGAGCAGTCCGGTTACAGTTGGGTTTAGCTCAATTGTTGTGTTCCCAGCAGGGTATAAACAGGCTATCCGCACGTGCAGCAAGGCTCCTCAGAGCGGGCCCTGGGGGCACCAAGGGAGCCAGCTATGGTGGGACTCAATGTGTCGACGCAAACCACCGCAATTTTTGCCAAAGGGGCCTTCTTCCATCCAAGTGCGTCAATCTGTGAGACGCACACCGGGCTTTTGCCATCGCGAAACATGTAGAACATCCTCACTTCTGCATGGACCATGACCAAGAACCTTCAAGTCTTTTTGATCGCCGCCAACAGGAATTGACAAGCCTGTTATGCAGGATCTTCCGGACATCTCCATTGATCCTGACGAGAAGGCTCCTGGAACGCTTTCTAATGCTCTCGTGCTCAAAGCATACCGTCGATGGAACTAATCCAGCACAACCCATCGCCGGAGCCTAGGACCAGCATGAGAGCACTTCGAGACCTGATAGAAGCAGCATGACTAGAATGCACATGCCAGGCTTTTGTTTTTTCTGCTTGAAGATGTCATGATTTGGACAGTGCGGCGCAGGTCTTGACGGCTATCAACAGTGGCGATGTCAGAAGGCTTGCGAAGATTGTTAGGGGTGGCTCTAGCGACTCACAGTTTTTGCTTAGCACTTTGTGGTTTTCTTGGCTCCCGGGCTCTGAAAGTTTCATTGCCGTACATGAGTGCGCATTTGGGACTCGCCTGGGGGTGCTCACTATTCGGCGAGTTTCAGTGTGACAAAGTATTTGTGGAAGCCAGCGTTGATAAACTCAGAGACCAGCCATGGCCTGTTTGATTTTTGGTGTGGGCAAGCTAGGTTTGTTTGCAGGCCTGCATCTTAGCTTTCCTGAATGCATGTCATGATGCAGCAGCTGTTGAACTAGACATTTCGTACAAAGGGCCTCTTACAATATCCTCACAGCTCCATATGGGTTTTAGGCTCCCTAGGGACTCCCTTTTTCAAAAAATCCCTGGACTAAACGTGTACCTACTTCTGCGTTCTGCAAGTCTTCTTTCGGTAAACTCCTAAGTCGTGTATCACTTTGTGACAGTCGTGAAAGCTGGTACGAGTCTTATGAGTTTGCTATGCTATTTCCATCCAGAAAAACCTGACGGTGGAGCCTTGACCCCACCGCAGCACTAAAGACAATGCTAACTGATTTGTGGTTTCCAGATAGAGGTGTGAACATGGTGAATCAGTCGAGCCTGCGGAACGCGAAGCCCCTAAACCACAGGCCTTGCGCTTGGGCACAAGAAGTCGTTTGTCCACCTCCTGCGCCCCGTTAGGGGTGGATGTTTCCCACATCTTCGCCACAAGAGGTGCTTTTGCATCTCGCTCCCGGCCGCATCGCTTCGGTTCAGAGGCAAGAGGCTTGAAAGATGATCTGACTGTCATGGGGATATTAAGATTGGCTGCACAAGAGCAGGCAGGCCCTTCGATTGACTAGGGGTTTATTCTTAAGGCTGCACCCTGGCGATTTCCGCAATACTGTTACGATGCTTATGCTTAATTTCTGTTGTTCCCGGCAGCATGACTCATAATTCTCGAGATCGTCCTGGGTGAGATTGCCTGTCTATAGTCTGCCGGTGGACCAGGACGCCGCAGTTTGCTGGAACCTGGCCATGCCCGACGAGAGGGACTGCACAACCACATGCGTTGTTTGAGCCGAACTTATCATGGGACTTACCAGAGCTTACAATTGGGTCGACAGTGGGTCGTCGGCCCTTCCCCCTGGAATGCAAAATGAGGGTTGCCAAGATTTCCCACACATGAAATCTTCCCTCAAGTCTATTTTTAAAAGGCCAAAGCATGACGCTTAAGGATTAGGGATCTTCTTGATTTCCTAGATTTTGATTGTTCATGATTTTTTTTTTTTATCAAGGAGTTCATATAAAAACTGAATACGATTTCAATATGTTTTATTGCGAGTTTACATCGTTTTGACTTAGATTCTAATTAGGTTTAACTAGATTCTCAAATAGATTTTCCATTGAGTTGACTGCAATTTTAACTTGGTTCGAATAGGTTTTTATTAAAATTAAATAGATTTGAAGTGCTTTTAAACGGTTTTTTTAGAATGTCAATTGGATTTAATTCTTTAATTGGTTCGATTTTGATCGGAATTCAACAGGATTCAATTACATACACCCCCCAGTGTTCGGGTTGTACGGTAATGCTCCCTAATATTGAATACCGGTCGGAGTATATACAATAGGGGGGCATGTTTAATATTGAGGGCGGGAAGGGTTGATACATTTTACTTGGTTCCTATTCCGAATGTGCTACCAACCTTCTTAGTAGAAAACTTTGTAGCAAGGCCCTTGGCATCTGTTCTTTGTCTCACTTGTGCACGCTTGAGATGCATAATGAAATGAAAATCATACACGAATGACTTGGTACACATGACTGGCATCAAGAGAAAGAAGAAATGTGAAAGATATAAAATGCGGATACTTGAGTTATCATTGGAGAGTACGCAAGTTCTTTATTGTGATAATTGTTGAGGTTAGAGTAAAGACATACATCAAGTTAGCTTATCATTATTTAGAGAAAACGAAAAAGTTTTTGCAATTAATCATTGTGGAGTATTCTCTGTACAATAGCCTACCAATAAGACTTCAGTGAACTCAATGTATTATGAAACAAACACCGCATGTCCCATATTATGACCCATAAATTCAGTATACCTAGCTTTGCCCATCTTGGGAGTTACACCAGCTGGGGAATAGGCCGAATTTCATATGGTAATGGACTTTGGCAGACATTGGGCTATCACTGGCTGGTGGTGGTGGAAGCACCCAAAATGGGCAAGGTGTTCCCTAGCACATCTGGGGGTCCCCCTATTTGGGGAAACTACTTTTAGGTATTATTCTGCAGTTCAAAAATGTAGCTTCTCGCGGCAGGAGTGACTCGCCCGGTCATTGCCTTTGTGTGGCTTGCCGTCTTTTAGAGTTCAAGGTTTTCGGGTTTTGCGTTTTGGATCCTGGATCTCGGCAACCATCTTCTTCCAGAACAGTCTGTGAGTTCTCATGCAGCTGCACGCTGCTTCGCTTCACTGAAGAGAGTAGTTTCGCAACAGATTCAATGTGCACGTAGGGGCATCAAATCGGAAGTCAAGAAGTCTTCCCCAATCAAGCAATTCCAAAAGCTCAGGCCTCTCAGTATAAGCGGAGGCTGGAATCGATAACAATATTCCCCTCCCGCCATTCGGCGATATACCTTTTCAAGCCCTATGCTATTTGCACCCCAAACCCTAACATCAACAACTCTAAGCCCTACGATATGTTGAGGATTGTAGTGCCGCCTCGGAGTGTCCTGGACGTTTGCAAGCTTCTTGGTCCTGGGGCACAGGACGCAGGCTTTAGGGTCTGGGCTTCAGGGTTGAAACTTTGGGGTTTGGAGTTTGGAACTCAAGGTTTGTGGATTTTGGTCTTTCTTGATCCCAAACCGTCAATAGGTGTCATGCAGTCGTGCATTCTGAAAAAGGTCCCTTTGCAGGGGGGTACTGTAGGGAGTAGTCCTGGTGGCCGCCGCAGCATCCTGAAGTCGCCTTGTCATTGGTGGAAGGTCCAAGGGAGTCGCACAAAACCAGATGGACGAGTAGGCAGAAAGCCTTTCAGCCAACAAGCATCTCATCCATTCCAAACAACTTGCATTTGCATTGCTCGGCCAGAAAGCTTTTGTGTACAATGCCTCAATACGTGGGCTCTAGGGACTCCTTGTGCCCCAAGATTATATCGTCGTTTGCATGAATTCGGGGACCCCACTACAGATCTCAAGATATTCTAACCCTTATTCTGGGAACCATCTCATTTTCATTCACCACGCAGCGTGTCATATCCGCCTAGCGAGCTGGTGAAAGTGGCAGTCCATTGGACCGGCGTTGTAGCTCCGATGTAGGCCCGAAGGCCGTCACATCAACACCATTAGGGTGTCCCGAGTATTGTACCATACTATGGTTGTGTGTTGTGTATCCCCTCGGAGCATCTCCTACACTGATCTGGTATCCGCCTTCTCTGCTCTGCGATATTTTACACGGAATTCCTAGTCTGATAGTCGTATGGTGCTTCCGTGTTTGCATGAGCGATCAGGTTGATACCCCCGGCTACTACTTTAATCCTCCAAACTTGTGTGATTTTCAGGGGTCGTAAAGGAGCCTTGTAGTGAAGTAATCGGAGACTTTAGGATAGAGAGACAACATTGGACATAGTTGGGTGGTGTAAATCTAAGTTTGGAGCAGATCTATGTTGCACTAGCCACAGCCTGTCTCTACACGCTTCGCTTGCAGATGTCGGCATGTCTGACTCCTAGCCTAGTGCATTGCTACAGTATGGCTATGTACATGTCTTCACTGGCACACACAGGTATGCATGGGCTCGCAACTTTCATTATTCTACAACATCATCCTGTAGTCGCATGATTTTTTTTAGAATGTCTTTTGTAGGATGATGAGAGTTGCATTAGAGCACGGGAGCACGGGTTTTGAGGACACGAGTATACGTTTCATGGTAGTCGTAGGGATTAGACTATCATGTTGATATCCATGTTATGTCCCTTGTACCTTTGAACTTGTACTTTGAACCCTGGCGCTGGCTCTGGCTTTAGTCGTCTTAATTTGTGGCCATGTGTGTTTTTGGACTAGGCTTCAGCTGGCCATCTCCTGAGCATGATCCATGTTTACTCTAGGGAGGTGGTACAATGCTGTTGTGTATTCTGGGAACCCCCAATTTCGGGATATTCGCAACATTATATATATGTACATATATAAGTCCCAGACAGTAATCTGCAGCCCTACAGGACATCGAATCTATCGAAGTCCAGTCTGACATTGTGGTGCTGGGCATGAACCCACCTTCCTGGACTGCAGGCCGAGATGTTTCTTTGCCGAATGTGTTGGTTTGCTCGCTGGGGTTTTCGTAGGGAATAAGGGAATATCTAATATAGAGGTTATATAAGGATTTCATTCCCTTATTCCCTTCCAAAGGCCACGAAGTTTCTCAACATTCTTGGTAGCTTCTAGGCCTGGTACATAATTAAGAAAATTGTGTCGGAGGCTGATGGTTTTGCAAGCTACCGGTGTTCATCCCTGTTTCATGCGTGGTTAACCCCAACTCCATGGTCGCTTGTTTTGCGGGACCCCTGACGAGGAGTACTGATGTAGCTCCCAGCTGTGGTTTGAAAGGATTCCTCATTTTCCCATTCTAGTGTATACAGGGAGATGATATAGAGTAGTGTGTATGAAAACCATGCGCCCCAGGCTATTGATACTCAGTGTCAAGTCTTGCCACATGGAACCTCGAATTCTTAGCAATACTTGCCCTAAGCGTTTCACTCAATTTTCATTGCAGAAGCACTCGAAACAGACGTGCTTTGACAACAGAAACCCAGTTGACCAGCAAAAGCCTGGTACTCAGATCCTTATTGTACTCCAATGCAGGCCGTGTTTATGGCTTCCCGCTCGCAGGCGGTCCCTTCAAGTGCTCGCAAGGCGGGAGAAGGAGTGGATATCAAGGTTTGCACATCCAGCCCAAGGATTGAAATTATGTTCTCCAGGTAGGGGCTATGGACATCAGGTAGAGCTTGCCGAAACCTGCTCTCTCTTCTATCTTGATGTACGTGCTCTGTAATTTCGGCCTGTGCTCTCATTGGCGGTTGCAGTCCTCGCCTTAAAACCCATGCATTAAAAGAGGGCCACGTCAACAATAAGTTGCTTCCACCATTCCCTGGCAAGAATGTCCGGACGTAGCTCAGCATAGGCCATTCACCCCGGAATTGCAAGGCCCATCGGCGTTGAATCCTCATTTTCTAATACCAGCAGCGACTATCAGACTTTAACCTGCACACCCAAGCCTCAGCCCCTGGCAAAAGACCTAAATACAACAAACCCAAGCTATGAACCATCCCAAAGCCTGAACCCCAAACCAACGACAATCCCATAACCCTAAATCCCACCTTCCGAAGTCCAGCAAAACCCTTGCCAGGCCCAGGGGGAAAGCTGACCCACTTCGCACATGCCTCCACCTACCACGCTGTGGATTTGGACTGTCCCGTAGACGCCCCGGTTTAGGGTGTGGGGTTCAGGGTTCATAGGAATTAGAGTATGTAGGATTGGAAATTGATTGGCTGAGGGCAAGTACTTATAGACCCTTCCTTGCTTTGGAGATTCAAGGCAGCGCTTACTGAATCCAATTTCCAACTTTTGGGGAGTTTTATGTTGAAGGCGACCTGCTAAGCCCCACCATTTTACAGCCCCTTCATGAGTTCCACGAGTTATCATGCAATCCCCCTAGCGCAGCTTCAGTTCTGAGAAGCTGCGGGAATGTGGACGTTCTGAAGTTCATCCGTATTCAACCCCCCCCATATCCTGGGACGCCATGTTTATGAGAAACCCTACATATGTAGTCTGTCAGGGTAGAATCCCTGCCGCTATTGCCAAGCGCGACGAAATGTTCCAAATGTCTCAGAAGCAGATATAGTGCTCCTGTTTTCGAGAGAGATAGGTAAACATGTGGTGAGCTTTGGGCGACGTAGGTGCTCCTCAAGTGCGTTGTGGGATTCTTGAGGGCAGATTCTGCCATACTATACATCCTATACCTACTCGATATGTTCCTTGCCTTGGAGTGGAGCGTGGGGGCTTCGACCCGGGAATGACAGGAATGACTTCAAGTGTGCGACTTTTATTGCGACCACTCCCATAGAATCCATTAAACAGGAATATACCGGAATCTCCAGCAGAAGCCTCACATCATCCTTTTGTACGCCTAGATTATCCCAAAGACAGGGAACTGTAGAAATCTCCAACTCTAGACCCTTTACCCCGAAATGCTCAAGCCTCGACCCCAAACCCTAAAGCCTGAACCCCAAACCAACGTGCAGGTGGGCACGGCGGTAGTTGCGATGGCTGACGGTACCATCACGGAGATCCGCGACGGCGAAACTGCGTCAGGTCTGGGCTGTAGTCCATGGTTCTCCCAAAAAAGGTTCCTACTTGGTTGTTGGACAGCCACAAACGCATCAAACTCAACTAACGCAGCAAGTGCAACTTGCACCCTCTCAAATTCCGCAGGGTACTTCTGGGAACACCATGCTCTCTGCATGATGCGTGCTCGTGCCACTGTATCGTCATTGAAGCTGCCCTGTCAGTTGTCTGTCTACCATTGTCTGTATAGTAATCTTGCCAATCCATTTTGCATTTCTTTGCCAGAGCCGTCAGCAGATGTGGTCATGACCAGTAATGCCATGCCACTTCTGGTCTTTTTCTTTTTGTTGCATTCCATCTAATGGTGCATTCCATCTAATCGTGCTACATTGTTGAGTTGCCTTTGTCTTGTCGCAGGTGAAGAGGAAATGTTCGTAATGCGGATTTTGGCTGTTTGCCTGGATGATGTGTGAGATGGAATTGATTTGCAGCAGCACTCCCCTCATGCCAGTATTTGATTCTGAGCAGCCTTTGTTTTGTTGACGAGTCTGAGCAAAAACGTGGGCTGGGATCAGAAATATAAGGACTGGGAACACTATAGCTTCAGGGTTTCGAGGTAGCTTTCTTCTCAGTAAGTTGAGATTAAACAATCAACCTGCCCTACCAGGATTTCATATGATCCAGTCTCCGTTGCTAGCATGTTCCATTTTTGCGAGTTCTCGATGTATGCATGGCTCTTTCAAGTTTTGTATTATCAGCAGTAGCACCTCATGCCGCAAAATACAGGCTGGGTGCGCAGCCAGCAGTTCAGAGAGGTTCATTGATGGCTCAGCCTGTTGTCTGAAGGTTAAGAAAATGTTTGTCTGAAAGTTATAAGCCCAACATTTGTGTCGTTTCCAATGCGTCCTTGCTTCCCCTTGTCTTTCTGAACCTGAGGGACTGAGCAGTTACCATCGATCTAGCAACTAGACTCCTCAATCGCCTAGGATGGTTGGGAGAGTCGCCCGTGGATCCTTCTGGGCAGTATGTTGGCCCGACTGATTGGTTTTACAGGCTGTTTTGTTTGTCATCCATCCTGATACCTTATTTTGAACATCTAGGGGGAGACCGCCAGGTAGTGGTAGTCTCAAGATTGGAGAGTTTCTATACTCACATGGAACAACGACCTCAGAAACTCAGAACTAAGCCCTCAGTCTAGGTATGCAACCCTAATCACGGCAAACCTGATAATCCACTCCCGGCATGCTCATTTTGATGGTGCTGGTAATGCTGTGTCCTTGAAGGCATTAGGCCCACGCTTTGCAACGCGATTGGTTGCAGTGACTAGGACCAAGCCTCCCGGCTTTGCGTCAATTAGGTGCTCCTGAGACCCTCACTTTAGGCGTCAACCCCCAAACCAACGTTGCTCCCTCCTCTACCCCCCAAGAGTTTATCCGTAGAAGTTGAGTCTGGGCCGCCGAAAGGGCTTTCTCTCTCTAAACCTTGCAGGCGTTGACGTTCGAAACTTCTTCCGGTGGAACCAGATCACCGTGAAACAGGCTTCGAGACTGGAATGATTTTCTTTCTGGGGCCCTTCTGCTCAGTGTACCAGCCAGTTTTTTCTGCCCTAACGTTACCTTATTATTTGTGTTTCTATGCGGTTGGTAGCCTTGCACCTTCCAGCATAGGGTTGGGCTTGGACATCTTCAAGGTTTGAGAGTCCATGAAACGGCCTCTTTTCGGGCCCCTGTGGGTTGTCCTTAGGGAGCTGTCTGATGTGTTGCTTAGACTTACTGGTTCCTATTAGGGAATAAGGGAATATATTCCTCATATAATCCTTAGATGATATAGTCCATTTTTCCTACTCAGCACCAGTAAGTAGATGGGCATACAGAGAGTGGAGTGAAGGTACCCTAGCTATTACCACCCAGGGCTTAGAAGTTCACAGGTTTGCCCAGAAGGAAGGCTGGAGTATCCTTTGGGCAGGCCGTAGTGCCCTCCCGCTACAAGAACAGCATGGAACCCGACATGAGCTTCTCTCAGCAGTATAATGCCGGACAATCGTTTTTGTGTGCCTTCTGGGGTTACTTGTTTGTTTCAGCCTCCTCTATTTCCATCTGGATGTCACAACCCTTCATGACTTTTTTGGGGAGAATTTTCTAAGAAAAGGTGTGTTCGGGGTTGGGAGGTTGGTCTAGGATGTGAAGTTGATGGCCTCTAAATTGCGCTCTGCCTTGAGGTTGATGGGACATTTGCTGAGTATGTGCACATCAAGGCCATCGCCATTCATCCTAGCCAGTGTCACGTGAGTGTTCTGCTGTAAATTGCCCGAAGATCGTGAGGAGTTTGAAGGTTTCAGAAACAGCGGCCCCTACTATCAAAAAGCCACCACCCCCCCCATACTAGATATTCCAGCATTATACTATAGCTGAGGGGCATTGCTGGGTTGCAGTCAGAGTCGACGACCATTCACTTGCGCGGGGGTGTAGCACGTTCAAGGATTTAGGGTTTCGGGTTCAGGTTGATATCTATAGGGCCGGTCATGAACTGGAGTCCTTCAAACAGGATTGCAATGTCATGGGTTTGTTTGGGACCTGGCCCAACTTGATCATCCAGTAATCCTCGGTCCAAGATCTCACTCGGGGTTTTCACCCCACGCCCAAGTTGAAGCGCCCAACCCTCCGTCAGATCTTTATGCATAAGTCGTGCACTTCAGTTCACGACCTTCAGCAGTACATCAGCGGAACGAGGCATGGGCACCTGCAGCTTGGCAATCCTGATACGAATGAGCTTTTGAAACTGTAGAGTAATAGCGTGTCTGTATTTCTGATTACCTGGGCCCTCTCTATGTTGAGATGCGGATGTTCTTACAATTATGGCCCTGGATTCACCTCTTGGTGCTTATTGCTCCCAGAGCAAGGCTCCCGGCCCCAATTTTCAGAAACCGCGATATCGCAACATGCTACTCGAACACGCATAGGATCGGAAACATGCGTCAGCAGTCCCAACTAAATGGAACTCCCTGCCCCTCAGCCCTCGTTCTCTCTCTATCTCTCTCCATCTCTCTCTCTCTCTCTCTCTCTCTCTCCATATAGGCTCATAAATGTAAAGGCCTGGGGATTGAACACGTTGGCTTGCAACAGGCAAGTGGTCTGTAGCAGGGAGTGGGGGGCACCGCCACAAGGCGTTAGGCGGTGTTTGACGCACGGCCATGCATGATCACATATGTTCTGACTTCCATGTCTTCAGCTCGCAGCTCGAACGACGCTGCAGACCTTGACCCGATTGATTAACATTGAGGCCGGAACCTTCAAATCGTCAGTGCCAACAATTTTTTGCAAAGAGGCAGCAACATCCACCTTGAAGCCTGGAGACCAGGTACGACAAGGGCAGGCAACGCAGGGGTTCATGCTGTTGTCGCTTTTGCGTGTTTGGGCTGCACATGTTTCAGTAGTGCATCAACGGACCTGCCAATGAAATGGAATCCCCTCAAGGTTTCCAGCTCAAGGTTTTGTTTCGAGGTCTGGAGGTTTCGAGGCTCCGAGGTTTCAAAGTTGAGGCTTCGAGATTTCGAGCCTTCGAGGTTTTTGCTGTTTCCGGCAAATCCAGGTCTGATCTCGTGCATTTGCGTCAACCAGAACTTGCATGTCCTGAAAGTCCCAAGCTGACGCCTGCCTTATGTGAACTTAAGAGCCTCCGGCTCAGTCCGCCGACCGCGGGAGCGCAAATGGTGAGGGCCGCGGGGCAGGGGCATGGTCGCAACGACGCCGCGACAACGGACCCGCAGCCCAGGGCGCGTTGTTCGTCGTACGCGCATGACGCGATGTCAGTGACGCGTGATTCTGGAAGTTCGTCGACACGTATGTTCTCG